TTTCACAGTCCTAAGAGGATCAACAGAAAAACAACAGCAGTTTAGCCCTACATATTTGTTTTAATTTAATGTCCAGAAATATTTCTGCTGTAGGAATCCTATTTTGGCTGCTGGTTTATATGATAATTCTGAAAGTCCAGTGGAGAATGCAACAACAATGAACATAATTGCGTCCCATTATTTCTTCTATTTAGAATGCAAGTCTTTTCCAGGGTTGTATTCGTTGTTTATAACTCAACAATAGCTTACAAAGTTGAAAATTATTATTTGCAATTATTTTTATTATTATTACCATTAATAGAATTCTACCCACAGGGAGAAAAGGTATTTATTTAGACCTCTATCTTCTGCACTGCTAAAAGCTGAATATTTAGAAGTATCTAGAAGAGAAAAATATATAATTTACATGGGGGGGGAGGCATTTGGAGATGCTAATTTACACAACAAGAATCAAACAAAAGGCAATTAGACTACAGCATGCAACCACTTCAAGAGACGATTGCCTGCTCTGACAAGTCACTTTTTACCTGTAATAGCAGACAGAAGAGAAGCACTTCGAGACACATCATGAAAGACAGCGGTTGCAGTGACAAGCTACTGTATTCCAGCAGGCTCCCAGCAGGCTCCCAGCTAACTCATTCCTGACTCTCCCATGTAGCATGTCACCATAGTCTCCTCCAGAAGGCTGTTTCTCAAAGCTGGTTGGCAAATTGCTTATCATGCCAACCAACTTCAACTAGTAAGTGGGATCACAAAATGAAAAGCATGGTTTAGTCTAGTCTACCCTTGATTGGTTTAGTGTGGACTTGGTAGTGTTAGGTTAATGGTTGGACTGGATGATCTTAAAGGTCTTTTCCAACCTAAACAATTCTATGATTCTATGATCGCTCAATGGCAGTCCTAAGATCTTAATTTGATTAGGTAGAGGGAAGCGATGACCTGGGAAGAATAATATTTAAAGGTTTTGGGAAGGAGCAACATCTGTGACTAGTAAACTAGTAGTGGAGAGCGCGGTTTCAGGAGCCCCAGAAGTCTGACACAAGATTTTACAGAGAAAGCTGAAAACCAGAAATTGATGGAAATTTTTACCTTTGTAAGTTTGCTTCCTGACCAAATTTGGGTCTCATTATAACCCAGGGTTTCTGAGTAAGAGGTGCTAGTCAGATATTTCGGTAGCACGTCTTTTGATAACACTTGACAGCATTTATCCAACTGTCAGAGCCCTGTCTCCAGCTGTGGCTAATCACAAGTGCTTCAGATGGAGAACATAGCAGTAAAATCCACAAACTATATCTAACCAAGATGTGTATCAGATTAAAAATAAAGAAAAACATTTTCTGATTACCGTTGTGGGTCAACAGTTGAAACCCTGAAGCATAAGGTCTGGTTACAAGCATTCTAACAATAAGCCGCAAGTGTTATGAACCTATTAAGGACAACAAAGGCTTTTTCTTGTTCACACCAAGGCCCATGAAAGAAGAAAAACTAGCAGTAGTAAGGGGAAACGCTTAAATGCCAGGAAGACCACGATGACCATTTACCCCCAAGTCCATCCCTTCCCCTCAAAGAGGAATAAAAACATCCCTCAAAACAGCATTTAAAAAAAAAAAAATCTTTGCCTGAAACACTGAAATACCCTCAACATGCTTCAGAGGCAACTCACTTCAGAACTTAACTTGTTTCACTTGAACAACCAGAAACTGGATCTAGTTATGATTTTGACAACGAGGTCTACAAATCCCCCAGCACCACATACCTTTTCCATGTGTAAGCAGCTATTCAGCGCAAGTAAGTCACCTCTCAGTATTTTCTTCATTAAGGAGCCGGACATACGCAACTTAAGCCACATATTAGCTTGTTTTTCCAAAACATGGATCAGTTTTATGGCTTGTTTTGAGCAGTCTAGTATTTCCATAGCTTCTGAAATATGAACAATGGAACTGGACACAATATTCTAAAACCATACAAAACCAAGATCATAGTTGTGCCTCTATGCTGATGCTGTCCTTTTCACATAGCCTGAGATTAGCAATGGTCTCTTCTCTACAGCACTGTCCTGAGCACTTACACTGCCTGTGATACATAATTTTCCTAAAGCATGCCAAGAGTGTTTATTATTTTTCTTTTAAAACCTCCCATCTATATGTACAATCTATACTTGCCTGGATTCAAATGTAATTTGGTAGATTGTAACCATTTCAACAGATAATTCAGATCAGTATTACTAAGCTTTCCTTCTCATTAATTGAATGCTTTTAATGCCCTAAATGATCAGATCATTTTTTAATCAACTTCCAGGTCTACAAAGATTTTATCGTCAACTACATAGTTGATAGAAGTACAGCATTTGACCAAACACCTTCCCTAGAAAGCAACCCTTTCCCTTAACAGTGGACAGAAGTGTAAACAAATGCTCATGTCAGTGAGCTAATTATTATCATCTAATGTATGCTGTATCAATCCCACAAATTGCAGATCCCTCAAAAACCTACAGTCCAAGAAAAACTAGCTACCATGAAACCATATCAGCTGGCACTAATTACACCTTTTATTATGTTGTCTATGGTAACAGAACTGCAAATTAGCAACTTGATTATTTCACAGGCATGATGCTTAACTGGGGTGTTGGAGTTTTGGGGTGGGCTGTTTGTTCGTTTGTTAAGACTTGGAACTAAACTGATGGTTTCCCAACCATTTGGAACATTTTTCACCTTCCAAGATCAGTGAATAGTAAAATATGGATTAGGGTGCTTTCTTTATCCAGCTTTTTTGGGTATAAATCACCCAGGACTACTGGTTCTGATTTAGCAGATGCTGCGTCTTTCGCCACAAACAATATACATTCCTATCAGTGTCAAAGATGTACACATGTTCCTTATTCATTTCAAGTACAGAGCAGAGGCACCTTCATTTCTGTTTCTGATCAGAACTGTCGCTTGTTTTTTGCAGTAGGATGTTCTTCTTCTTCTTAGTAATGTAAAGAATTCTGTACTACTTTTATTTCTTTAGGCCACTGGGATTTCATGATTTTCTTGGCCTTGCTTATTGTTGTTGCTCTTGAACCCTTCCATTGCTGTTGTTCTTAATATATGCATGTGCACATGCATGCGCACGCACACAAAAAGGAAAAAAGTGATCAATGTTTATACTAGCATACATCCTAAAAGAGTAATATAAAGCTTTGAACATAAGTGAAACTAAGTATTACATGTTAACGTGTACGTTTTGGGGTAGTAAAGGAAAGTTTGTTGACAGCAGCTTTCCTTCTCTTTCACTAGATTACCAAATTAAAAAAAAAAAAAAAAAAAAAAAGGAAAAATAAACCTGTAAGAGAGCCTCTAGGATTCTCCCAAACATACTTTTCTGTCTCTCCCCATGAAAGTTACCAAAAAATGTAAATCTCAAAAACATCCTACTTCAAACATTCATACGCTAGACTGAGTGTCTTATTCTACAGAAAAGTAAATTATCTAAGAAATTTTGAGTGATTAAATGTTTTTATATCAAATATTTAACAAATCCATCCTCTGTATTAAATCTTCCAAGCACCACAGTGTTTAAGATGTTGTTCTGTTTATATTCTAAAACAGCATTCTGAAGGAGTGAAGCATTCTCCAATATATTACTTGTTGTTCAAGCCACGAATTCAAGATGATGAAAAAGCCCCAAATCCTGAAGAGTGAAAACACTACTCACTGAACTACTTCATTACTTGTTTTCCTCACTCATCTGCACCAGCACAAATAAAATTCATAATAAAGTAACAGACATCTACTCAAGAGATCACAAATGATTTCTACAAAGGACATTTGAAAGGAATTCAATACTTGGAACATTCTTGGTAAACAAGAATCAAGTTATCACATCTAAAAGTTAAAATATCAATTTAAAATACTTCCAGGGTAACTAAGCAATAACTAAACACATTGGACACCACACTGAGTCCTTTGAATACCATTCTATTAATTTTGCCTGAAGATAAAAATTACAAATAAACTTCTAATTTAATAATGGATATACACTGCAACTTTATTTAGGGTTTATGGTTTCAGACACTGAAATAAAACATCCAAATGCTTTTCTGCTTTAAGAATTACATTAACAGGTGTACACAGATATGTCAGAAAGACAGCTCTGACCTGAATTTAATTCCTACCTTACTCAGAGCTGTATTTAGTAGTTGCAGGATAACACGAGGGCTAAGAGATGAGAGTACTGCCACCTTGTGCCAGTCAAGCTGAAGCCTAACAAACAAGACTACAGACTAAAACCAATCCCAGAACATGTTCTGCCTTTAAAATGTGACAGTTATTTGAGATCAGATGCTTGATCTTGAATTATGAAAGAGTATAACAGTATCAGTCTTTGAGAACATCTTAAACCAATTCTTTAAACAAAAATAATCCGACTAACTGTATTTAATCAACGTCTGACAGCAACTACTCTTATAATTGCCATTATAACATCCTGGTTTTAGTGACTCATAACTGTGATAAATTTCAGTCACCAGGGATAAGACCTTTTGTAATGGATACCTGTTTCAGGCTAAGTCTTTCTGGTTTGGTTTTGGTTTTTTGTAAAAATTTTTGTAATTATGGCAGGCAAAAAACCCCCAGTACATGCATACACAATTTGACAGTTCAAAAGACATATAAAACTTCTTTTGAAATGCTCTAATACACTCACGCTATAAAAATGGTCATATATTTTTACTGCATAAATATTTAAATACCCAAGTTCACATAAACTTCAGAAAGCAGAGAAGTATTATAAAAATTCTGAAGTATACTGACAAGCCACAAGGGAAAAAAATTTCCTCTCAGTCCATTCTTATCTAAAATTCAAGCACTACATCAAACATTACGGAATAACATAAAGAACCCAAATTTTTTTCTGCTTATTCACTGATAAATATAATTCTGCTCAGTTGATATTTCAGTGACTTTCCCCTGCAAGAGTCATTATTACAAGCAATAAAAACGTAAAATAGCAGTACTCACCAATATCATTAGCTAGAGAAGCGGGATCAGAGGCCCCAAGGGTGGCCTCAAACTCCTCCTGAAGACGATAAGCTCTTTGAAGAAGAGATTCAAGCTTATGAATGAATTCAGCACTAATGATATCCTGCAAGAACAAAGACATTAGAAGATTTTCTATTTATTTACAGCCTGTAAGATTCCTTTGTAAAATCTAAAAGTATTAAGCCTTCAAAGAACTCACTGTGCTACATTAATTTCCTACAACCACATGAGGACACTGTCAGATGAATACTTCAACATCAAAAATATACACACTTTTCTAAACACACACATTTTATTTACTATAATAAAAATAAAATCTAAGTTGTAAAATACTTTAAAATTATCTGTGATGTTTACTGCACTACAAGTAATGAAAGTCATACAGGTGTATATTTATTTCAGAATATTTTTAGCATTTAGTTCATAAGAACAAAGGAACACAAATAAAGTTCAGGCACATTATTTGTGAATATTCATAGATTCATCATCTTTCCCCAAGACCTTTATCTTTGCTAGGCAGATATCCTCTCACGTAGTCATAAAAGAAAAGGATGACCCAAGAGATTTTGTGCCGAAAACTAGTATGCTTGGTAGCTTGATAATACCATCCAGAAGCAAACACTGATGCAACAGCAATTGCCAAAAAAATAAATAAAGCTAATTCCCCCTCCTCCGCCCTTCTCCAAATAACCAACAAAAAAAATCCGAAGGAACAAAGTCAGATGTCCTTTAAATGCAATGCCACTAAATTGGAAATTTGAATTCATTCTCAGTTTTGGTAACTGAATTAGAAGTTGAAAAGATTTAGGTAACAAAACGCAACAAATTGTCAGGGCAGCAACAGTAGATTATAGATTGAATATACTCACCTCTACATTTTCTTCTGCAATTGCATCTCCTGCTCCCAGCTTAATGGAACCACAACTTGCTTCATCTTCGACTTGCCTGTTACGGAAAGTTAGTGCCTGTTCCCATCGACGCAGTGCCTCTTCAAAAAGCTCCATACCTAGGGGAGATCAGGAATTCCTCCATTCCATCAAATACACAGCTTCCATATGTATTCACATTTTAGTCACAGGAAGATATGTAGCTAATAAGCATGATTATAGCCGAGATGTAAGTTTTTAAAACAACAGCAATTCCCAGTCTTAAAAAAAAAAAAAAAGAAAAAAAAAGCTACCTTTTTAATAAGAAAGAAATCCACAATATGATTTTTTCCTATTTACTTTTAAAAATAATTCTATGGCTTACTACTACAAATATAGAAATTAAAAAAAAAAGTATTTTAAAAAACTAACTCTAGATCAAGTAAGATTTCATTATTTTATGGAAACGTTCCTTAGACACATGCCCACAGGACACTGTGAAAGAACAGCACAATAGTACCGTGTAAGTGTCACTTTGCCACAAAACCAAGAAATTATTTACATTCATTGTTGGTAGATGCTGAATATTCTCATAACTTACCCATCAAATATAAATTTTCAGGTGTGGTCACTGGAATATTGACAAGCTTAATATCATCTTCATCTGCTTTATCCCAGGAACTAGAATTAGCACAGGCACAACTGTGACAAGAGGTGGCACTCTGAACCTTAAAAAAATTAAACAAGTTTTGAAGTGTTGTTATACGGAGTATCCTTAAAACTACATTCCGGCCAGAGTACATTACATCCAAGTTATCTATCTAGAAACTGTTTCTACTATGTAGTAAGTACAATGGCCTTCTCAGCATCTCTAGCCCTCTGTGCAGCTTGTTCAGGGAAGTTTAAGCTCAGTGAAACCATTCAGTGCATATGCAGTACAAGTTAACAGACATTCAAGAGCCTTAAAACACTTCTACTTACCGAGGCCAGACTCTGAACTGAACCAGAGTATTTACTGAAAAGTCCGCCATTTGCATAGATACAAGGCTGGGATCCTTTTTCCTTGGCAGAACTCAGAGAAAGAGTCAAGTTTTGCCGACTACTGGAACAACTAGAACCTAACAGATACAATGGTTTGAGTTTGCAGCAGTTTTAAAATCTGTGTATCGTTTGTTAGCAAGATCTATCAAGAATTACATTTACTCTTTTAAATAAAATCGTTTAGAAGCAAACATCAATTATTCTTTTATTTTCAATTCTATACAAGAAACTACAAGTTAGAACAGTCAATATCTATAACAATAAACATGCATTTGAGCATAATTATTTTCCCATCTGATAAAAATTTAAATCTGTTTTTCTCAGTATTGACTTATGTCCACAAGAATGGCAAACCCCATTTTTTATATTCTTTTGATAAAGAAAGTTTTAAACCAAATTCATGACTAAAACTTGAGCTCTGAGAACAAGACCAGCTTATTTATAAAATACTGTCATTTTGCTCCTGATTTGCACAATTTCTACTGTCACAATTCAAACCTACTCAGCATTAAAGGAGAATAGTTTGCTTTACTGCTACACACTATTATGCTCACCAAACCCCTCACACCCCTCTTCCTCCCCGCCAAGAAAACAAAGAATACTTGGGGGTTCTTTCATGTACCTTTTTCCGATGCAGCTGCTTTGGTACACTCTAATACTAGATGACTTGGTTCCCATGGTGGCACTTGCTTGTTTTTCTTTCCACGTCTTCTTTTAAAATGATGGGCCAGAAAAATAACAGATATTGCACTCACTGCTGTTACTGTGAACAGCTTCTTTAACCCAGGGGAAAGCTTTATCTGAA